GAAGGGAGTTAGCACCGGGTTAACCAACAGGGTGAGTTCGTGGTGGCTGCAGCTCCACTACCATCTAACTGTCTGAGCTGTGGACTGGAAGCTGGGTAGCCCCCACCCCTTTTGGCCAGGGAGGGGCTTGGAATCTAGGCCAGCTGCTTACTCCAATGGGCTCACACCAGGTGCTCTATGACAGCCTGGTGGGTTGGTGGTGAGGGAGGACTGTCAACAACCTCCCCATTGCCCAGGCCCCAGCAAGTTCCAGAAAGGAACCCGAAAAATGATCTCTCGTCAGTGCCTGCCCTGGGCAGGCCCGGCTGGGCTGCAGGCAGCAGCCCAGGAGCCGCAGATCTGACGCCGATTCAAATGTCTGTGGTCAACGAGAGTTCTGAGCCTGCAAACAGTAGCTGACAATGCCCACTCCTTGCCCTTGCTACGACAATCCACACTTTGTCCAGGACCTTGTTTGCTCTTCGTGTTGACATGTTGTTCTTGCTTCCCAACAAGTTTAGTCTTCTTTGCCCTCCCTTTCCTTCTCTTGGGGAAGGAAGTGTGTTGTTTACAGTGGTGGGGCCTGCCAAGGAGCTGCTCTGGCACTCACGATGGCAGTGGAGGAGGCCGGGACAAGGAAGCAGCACAGGCTCGTTCCTTCCCCCCCAGCATGCCAGACAAAAGCCAGAAGACAGCCTGGAGACCCCCCAGGCTCAGGGCCAGAGCCATGTGTGCGGGTCCCAGGCTGCAGTGGCTGTACAGTGAGGCCTCACTCATTTCCGCTCTCGGTGGGTGGCGGGAAGTTGGCTTTGGTGGCCACAAGCAGCCTCAGACTCCTGCTCTGGCTGGTGGCTGGTGACGACACAGTGGGGCATCACAGTCCTCTCCTGAAAGGGAGGGGACTGTACTTCCCCTTCCACGTTGCTGGCATTTAAGCCTTAATGGGAGTACTCCCAGAACAACCCCTAGCAAAGGTCGCCAGGTTGTGGCCAGGTTCACTGAGAGGGAGAAGAAACAGTACAGGCACCAAAGGGAGCTGCTCAGGGTCTGGGCCAGGAATTCCCAAGTCTTCTTCCACACGCCATCCAACTGGGTGGATGGGGAAGGTGGGGGCCTTGTCCAGAGGAGAGTGGTGAGTCAGCGGCTGGGCCGGGAGGTGAGCCCAGCAGCACTTTCCCAAGCCTGGCCTGGAGTAGCAGAACCCGCTAGGAACAGCTGCTGGGTGTCTTCTCCCAAGCCAGGGCCTCCCAACAGGGCTGGCAGGGAATGGCCGGGAAAGGGGGTGCCACCTGAGTGAGCTGTCAGACACCAGGCAGCTGAAAAAGCATCACAGGGCTTGGGGAAAAAAAAAAAAAAAAAAAAAATCTCGTATTTGGTGATGTGACCCCTATGTGACCTCTGGGGCAGAGACCTCTCCCCCTTCAGATCAGCTCTGGCTGGGGAGAGATGGATGCCTCAGCTCTGGGCTGGGCTCCCGCTCAGAGGACTAACAGTGTTGACAGACTCAAGGGAAAGGCTTCTTGAAGCCACTGGGGCGAGGGAATGCTGGGGGAGGGTGGTGCAGGAGAGGCTTGGCAGGTCTCCCGTCCAGGGCCTGCAGACCCTCCTGGAAAGTTCTGAGTTGGCTGAGAGGGTGTACAATCTCCAAGAAGATGAAAGCAGCAAATGGTGGGGCAGATGGAGTCAAGGTGTCAACCTCTGGAAACGGAAAAAGCCGGTGGAACTGGAGCTGGACTCTGGCCTCTCCGGCTCCTCCCTGCAGCAACAGCAGGGCGTGTCCACTCTGCTGCACCTGGCACTGCAGCCACTCCTGCTTTTCTGTGCTGCAGCCTTGACTTCCCTGGGTCTGGAGGCGGGGGCTGTGCGGCCGGGTGGGGGGGGGGCCCGGAGGGCAGGTGCAGATCCTGGAGTAGATGGGTGTGGAGGCCTGTCTGGAGCCACTGGACAAGCTCAAGAAAGGGGCCCAGAGTCCCTAACCTCCTGCCTTTCCTCTAGTTCTCTTTTGTCACTCTTCCCCTCTAAGTGGTATCTCTGCCCGGGCCTTTTCCCTAAGAGATAGCAGGCCTGGGCTGGTGGCCAGAGCAAGGTGCCAAGGCTGGGAGCTGAGGGCTTCCAAGGCTGTTGAAGGCTGATGCAAGAAAGTCATCCCGGCTCCTCCCAATTCAGCAGGGACCAACAAGGAGAGCTCGGGCTGCAGCCAAGGAAATAGAAGTCTCTTGCCGTCCGGGGTCTGTTACGTTCCGCTCCTTCCAACCGGCTTGGGCACACGGAGATACCCTGAATCCTGGGTGCATGCACCACACAACCTGCAGGGGTGAGGGCAGGCCTCTCTATGCTGGGGCCTCCGCTGAGGGCCTCCTTAGCCCAGTGGAGAGACCCTCACTGACAATGCCGATTAGAGCTTAACTCCAGGCCTTCAGAAGGTCGTGCAGAGTTCTGGGGGACATCCACCCCCACAGGGAGACCTAGAGGCCCAAAAGTAATCACCAACCCAGGTTCTCACAAGTGAGGGAGCTGCCTGTGACCACCATGGCAGACCCTGAAGGGGAAGGCAGGCTGGCAGGCAGAGGCAGAAAACGCTGACTGCCTGGGGCGGGGTGGCTGGGAGGCTGGGGTGGGTTTGGCTCAGTAGCTGAGGCTGGGGCAGGGTCGGAGGGTTTCCCAGGGCCCCTCAGAAAGGGCCTGAGAAACCCCTTGGTGAGCGAGGGTGCGTGCTTGGGGAGTGGGGCCTCGGCCAGCCTTCCTGGGAGCGCCCCTTGGCCCCCGTGGTGGACCACACTAATGAGCCCATAACACAGGCCTTTGATTAAGCTCCCAGCACAGCAACTTTATTGAAACATGCCGAGGCCACCGCTCTTTCCCACCGTTCCCCGGTTCCCCAGGCAACAGTCCACGGGAGGGGACCGTGTGTGGGGAGTCAGCGGGTGCTGAGTGCTCCAGCTCACTGAGGGGCTGCCAAGGGGAATAAGGGGCTCTCCCTTCTCCCTTCAGCTTGGGGTTGGGTCCAGAAGGCTCTGGGGGGAACTGAGGGGCAAGGCCTGTTACCTTGAGATGCTGACCACCCCTCCCCAAGGCAGCATGGCATCCCCAGCCTAAATTTTCCAGGTTCCCTGCTACTAGTGAAGAAGAGGGCTGGGGAGGTTTACAGAACTCCGAGGACAAGGGCCGAGCTGAGGATGTGAAACGTAACCAAGTGGAATTTCTTCTCCAAGTCTCTTCTTTCCCAACAAAATGTGTTTGAACCTTCAATACATAGGGTGTTTTCTGAGGGCTGTTCTGTGGCGGCCTGTCAGCAAGCTGTCACTACTGGGAATGATGACCTGTGAACTGAACTGTGAACTCCCCGGGCCTGAGGTCACCTGCCCAGTCCCCCCTCCCACCTCCCTGTCGCTCTGTCCAGGAGAGTGGCCTGCTCCTTTTTTTCCTCTCTCCGCAGCCTGGGACATGGGTGGGGGCCGTGGGGAGGCGCTTTCCAGTGGTGCTGGGCTAATTTCAAATGTTACACTTCAGAGCTTTTGCTACAATAACTACCAATACCACATGGACAGAAATCTAATGTTACCATGTGGGACTTTTAAAATGTATTTATAACTTTATGGTTCAAAGTAATTTTGTTATGAAACAATGTAATAACAACAGTGGAAAAAGGCAAGATAATTTATGGAACACAATATCCCTAAAGCACTAGCTTCCATTTCTACCTCGGCTTAGTCTAGGGAGTGTGGTTGGTGTCCTTTGTTTGCTGTTTGTTTTAATTAAGGGTTAGTATTTTGGTAGTGGGTGGGGGTGGGGAGCCAGCCTGGAGGAGGAGAAATTCTGTGGCAAACAGACACACAGGCAAAAAAGCATGTCCCTGTTACAAGTATATATGCTTCACAGGCCCCCTAAAACCTAACCAAAAAACAAACTTACTGCCTTCTAGTGGATTCCGACTCCTAGAGACCCCTTTGGGTTTCCAAGGCAGAAAATCTTTATGGAAGTAGATTGCCCAGTCTTCCATCCACAGAGTGGCTGGTGGGTTTGAACCACCAGCCTTCTGGTTATCAGTCAAATGCCTTAGGCACTTCGCCACCAGGGCTCCTTCACAGGCCCCCTAGACTAAGGCAACCTATAAAACCAGTAAAACTCTCCTCCCCCTCTACTATAACTCACTCCCCTTTCCAAAAAAAAAAAAAAAAAAAAAAAATCCACCATAAACAAGGCCTGGTCACCTTCTGGATTAGGGTCAGATTCCCTTTCTTGATACTCCTGGTGAGAGGTAAGATAAAGTGCCCCTACCCCCACACCCCCGCAAACAAAAAGCAAAACAGGATGTCAGTCTTCCAATCCATCTAGGAATGCGGTGGGCCAGGCTGAGGACCTGTTAGAGACCTGGGAGAGGCTGGGGGCTGGAAGGAGGCCTCGGCTTGGCAGTTGCTCTGAAACCATAGTCCAGCCAGAAGAGCAGAGGAGGGACAAAGTATTCTGGTCAAGTGAGTGGGTTTTTGCTCAGACAAGCTGGGTTTGCACTGGGAGCACCAGGAGAGTCACAGGTATGGGGTGGTGGTGGTGGCAGGTCTGACTGCTGAGGCTTGCCCATCCCAGCCCCAGGTTCAGGCACACAGACCTGCTTTCTATGAATTTTGGCAGGATGGCCATACAGCCACTCAGAGTGGCTTCCCATATCGTCCTTCACCTTTGGCTTTCTGTGCCTCGATTTACCCAGGGCACAGCTAGTCCAACCACCCTCAAGCCTGGATTTCCACAGGAAACAGAATTCCCAGTGGGTCTGGAGAGGTATCACTGGTGTCTCAGGTGATTGGGGGAGAAACCAGGAAGTGCTCCTGGGGCTGATGGGATGAGCAGCAACATCCACCCTCCACACCCACACACAGCCCTCAGGTTCTCAGTGTAAGAGGCATCTCCTAGCAAACCCCTCAGGAAGGGCAGCTACCAAGAGCTGCTATGGGAGCTGAAGCAGGGGACAGGCAAGGGATGAGCCTATGGAAAGAAGGGAGAGAGAAGAAAAAGAGCCTTCTCACTTGTAACCAGGGTCCATGAGCCGCGTAAGGATGCTCCTCAGTGGCAAAGGCACCTTCTACTCCCGTGGAGACAAACGTGATGGCCATGTCACCTGTGATACTTTTATATGTAAAGTGCCGTCCATGCAGGAGTCTGCCCCTGAGGGTGGGAACATGGAGACAGTGAGGAGCTGGGCCTGGCCAAGGCTCTGGGGCCACGGGGTTGTTCCCTGGGACAGCGTGCCTGGCAAATGCCCTCCTGACTGTCCACCTGCCCACTAACAGGGGACTCCAACTCCAACCCAACAAATTTATTTCAATGCCTTCAGAGAGAAGTCTCTCTCACAAGTTCTCTAATGTCACTCTTCCGAAGTATCAAAGGCAGCAGAGACAACACTAGACCAGAGTTCCAAAGGACGGCCGAGATAGTGGAGCCCACCTCTCTCATGCACTGGTGAGGAAACTGAGGCCCAAGGTCACACCCAGAGCTAAGTGGCATGGACACTCCTTTGTTGAGGGGGTGTGTGTGTGTGTGTGTGTATAGGAGGGTAGTGCCTGAATAAATTCCCCAAGCCCCTGGGATGATGGCATAACATCTTCAACAGCATAACCCCTGTGCCCTGGGCAGAATCTTCTCCCTGCTCTTGGGCCTTCCCACAAGATCTAAATGGCTAGTCCCAAGGCCACAAATAAAGTAATAGACAAAGAAATACATAAATGCTGAAGCCAAGTGGGGTTACTGTGAGCAAGCCACAATAAGTTAATCTCCAGTCTGGAAACACACCTGGGGGGAGGTCAGGCAGGTGCAACCAGTGGGGTAGAAATGCCAGTCAGCAAAGGAAGCAAAACCTGTTCTTTGCTTTCGCAGACTGACTCAGATGAACCCTTCACCAGACTACAGATCCCAGAGAAGTAGCCTGAGAAGAATGGCTAGGGTCCTGGAGGCTGGCCCTGCCAGGTCCTGTCCACTCTGACCATTTGCTATCTTTTTTGCCCTGCTGCCTAGGGTGGGTATCTAAAGCTGTTTACAGCCCAAGCTCCCTTCCCAAGCTCTGGGGACAGTAGAGATGTTTCCAGTCACTATAACCCTCTTCTTCCCTGTCACTGTTCTCCAAACCCAGCCATTCTCATTGCCTCTCCTGATAGAAAAGTGAGGGTGGAACCTAAGGGCCATGGAGGAAGCCAGCTGCAACAGTTGCAACCTCATGCAGCAGAGAGCGCAGAGCTGAAGTCTGGCCACTGGGCTGGGTTTCTGGCACTGTTGTCAAGAGCAGAAGGGACACAGCTGGCTTCTGGGTCCCTCAAGGAGTCTGCTGGGCTGGCCACAGAGTGTTTTGCATGGGAAGAGCAGGAAGCAGGAGAAAACAGAGCCCTCCCCACCAGAACCTGTCTTGACAGCCCAGTGCTACTGGTGACCCCACCTCAGGGCCTATGTGATGGCTGGGGGCAGCTGAGACTCCTTGGTCTCTGAGCCTTCCCTAAGGGGAGCAGGACTGAGGGGCAGTTCTCTGGATGAAGGAGAGTTTTTGAGCACCTAGTCCCTGTGGATTCTCAGATTCTGAAAGCTTAAAAATTGGGGTGGAGGGTGTATGGGGGAGGTTTGTCAATGAAGGCCCCAGACTAGAGACTGACAGGGCTTCTTGACCACAATCTGGGGCCCATTAGGGGCTGCTGCTGCTGGGGGCTACACAGGAGATGCAGAGGAGAGAGTGCTTCTATAGAGATGACCCACAGAGTCCCCCACTGCTGGCCAACTTCTCCCATCAAAGCTACCAAGAGGGGTGGGCAGGGAAAACACTGCATGGCCCAGTGTCGTCAGGGCTACTGGCTGTCTGAGTCCACAAGCTGCTCCCACACAGGCTGATGGAGATGACCAAGGAGTCCTCCCCTCCCCTCAGCCCCAGACATGTGAGCTACATGGGGGTGGGGGAGGAGGGGGAAATAGGGGTGGCAGGGGTGGGAGTGGGGCAGGGGAGATGGCAGGCATAGGCCCTGGCTCCTTGAGGGCTCAGGATGCCGCTACAGGGGAGGGGGGACATTTGGGGAGGCTCTATGTGCCCCCTGGAGGCCAAGGTGGGCACTTCAGGGTTGAGCTGTGTGGCAGGGCTGTCCGGGCTCACCTCAGGCAGAGAGGAATGAGGGCTCCTGACTCTTGGTTGAACTTCAGATGTACGCTCTCGAGCTGCCGCGTGCGGATCAGCTCATGCGGGATGATGGCCGTGGAGCTGTCGCTTTCCAGGCTGTCTTTGCGGCTCCTGAAAAGCAAGCCCAGGACAGGTTCCAGCGTAAGGTAAAAACCACAGGGAGGAGCCAGATGAGGGTGTCTGACTGGGCTCCTGAATGGCAATGACAATAATGGCGATTGCCAATCATGATAAGAGCAGCCACCATTCACTCTGTGCTCACCAAGTGCCAGGCACTGTGTCCAGCACTCTGCACTGATTGGCTACTCCCCACCACACCCCCATGAGATGGGTCCTATTATCATCATCCACTTTCCAGCTAAGGAACTAGGAATTAGGAAGGTTCAGTAATCTGTCCAGGAAGCACAGCTGGCGAGTGAGTAGAGCTGAGATCTGCTTCCAGGTAAGTCTGGCTCTAAAGCTTGCAACTTTGGTCACTTGCTGTAGCTTGTGTCGGAGTGGCTTGTTCTCTCTACGAAATGAACAGGAGCTTTTGGGAGCCCTTCTTCCCTTGCCCTAGAGCCTCAGACTCCTGCTCCTCCAAGGCTGGGGTGACAGCACCACATGACATGGCTCCAAGGACTCCCTCCCAGCTGACCCTGAAAGGGCTGTGACATCCAGTAAGTTCTAAGCAGCACACTCCGGCTAGCCACCAGGAGCTGCAGTGGCACACACATCCTTTACCTAGCCAGGAAATGATACCATCTTCATCAAGGGCTGAAGACTGGTCTCTTCAAGAGTCAGGACACTGGGCCTGGCTGGGCAGCAGTACCAGGCCTCTGCCCTGCTGGAACTCTACACCAGATTCCTCCTGACTGTGGCCTTGGCCACTGAGAGCTGTCACTGCTCCCACCAACAGCCTGTCCCACAGCTGGGCTCTGGGTCTTTTTGCAAAAGCAGATTTGCTCCTTTAGATTCAGCTGCTCCCACTGACAACCTCTCAAATATGCCTCAGCTGGAAATGAGGGTTACCCACTGATCCCCATCAAAAGACCGGATCCTGGTTTGGGCTTGTGAGTCTCAGAACAATTCCCCAAGTGTCCATCAATATGCTGGGTGAGAAGCTCAAGTTGTTTACAATTCAGGCAGCAAGAAGCTACTCAGGATGTTTGGGCCCCAAGGCCAGACAGCATCTGAGGGATGAACCCCACCTCCCCCCACACTGGGGACTGAGTGCTGGGCCCAGTGGCTGAGGAGCACCCTGACAAAGCTTCTCCCCAAGGGAAGGGTGTGAAGTCAGCAAGCAAAATGATGGAGTTCTGGACATTGGACAGCACAGGGCCCTGCGGAACAATGGTTTATAAATGCTCCTGAGGGGATGGGGCCATTCCCACCAGCTGCTCTCCTCCTGGTCACACCCAGATCTGACTGCTCACAAAGCAGTCCCTTCCTCTGGTTTCCTAGAGCCAATTCTGAAATTACCCTTTCCCCTAGCCTCTCCTCTGACCAAGCCTTTCACAAGATCTGTGAAGACAACACTAAGGCCAAGAACCAAAAACCAAACTCACTGCCACTGAGTTGATCCCAACTCATAGCGACCCCTCCTTGGGTTTCTGAGGCAGTTATCTCCGTGGTAATAGATTGCCCAAGCTTCCTTCTGAGGAGTGACTGGCGGGTTTGAACTGCCAGCCTTCTGGAAGCAGTCAAATACCTTAGGCACTTTCAGGACTGGAAAGAAATTCTGAGGTTGTTTAACTCAGCTCCTTACTTGACAAAAGAAAGTAACTCATTCAAGGACACAGTGGGACTATGGCAGGCCAGTGTGGGAGCCATGGGCTGGCGACCAACTCTCTCCTTTACACCACAGCTGCTCTGAGGAGGGCATCTCCACACCCAGCCCAGGCACCACCTGATGGATGAGTTCAGCCAGTGACATGGTGCTAAGAGAGCCCAAAGAGCAGAGTTCTTGAACTAAGAGCAGCATGGCCATAGATTGATTCACTGAAGCCTCACAGCAGGCCCCCAAGATGGGTTTTTTTGTTAACCTTTCTTTTACAGATGAGGAAACTGAAGCTCAGAGAGGTGAGGTGACAAATCCAAAGTCACAGAGACAGTTTAAGTAGGATAGCCAGGATGTGACTTTCATAATCACTTTCCTGAGCTGTCCTTGACAACCGGCTCTGGTATTGTCTCACCACCAAGCTTCCAAAAGGGGCTGAGGCCTGGCCCTCTCAGGCGGAGCCTCTGAGCCCATGATGCCTGCCGGAGGATCCAGCCTCTCAGGCCTGGACAAAAATGCTGATGAATAGCTGCTGGGTGGGGGTGGGGAGCTGGTAGAGAAGAATCAACAGCACCCAGGACTAGAGACGTCGCAAGCTGGAGGGAAAAATAAATTGTTGAAAGTCAGCTAAAGTCACCTTGGTAACTGCTACAACACACTCACCCAGAACGAGGACATCAAACCCAACTGCAAACAGCTTTAAAGAAATGGAAAAGAACTTAATCATCTGAAGAATTAATGTGACAAGTGCCCACATTTACACCTCCCACCAACCTTCAATCATTTGAAAACGTACTTTAATCTTTTAAGAGAAAAAAAAAAAAAAAAAAATTGCAAAATGCTAGATCTGCAGTCCTGGAGCTCGGGTATTTCCGGCACGCTGCTTCAATGGAAACGCGGCTGCTCGGCACACATGCAGGAGTCCAGCTTTTTGCTGATTTGTTTTTTCTGGACATCGATGCAGAAGCATGAATTATTTGTGTGGGGTGGGTGAGGTATTAAATCTGCAGCCGACACAGGTTTGCAATGTTTTGCATGGTTGTCAGCTTAATCTTAGTCATAAAAAAATAAGTAGTGTGCTCTCCAGTGTGGCCTAATTTTTCAGCTGGGTTGTTTTCTCCCTGAGTTCCCAGCGGAGGAGAAAGCAGAGCTTTGGGGGTTGCTAGGGAAAGGGGCTCTCTGGGGGGCATGGCCCTGCACCTGCCGGGGAAGGTCAAGGGTGGGAAGGTCAAGGGTGTGGGGCCAGGGGAAGAAGGATGAGCAAGTGCTTTGTGAGGCAGAATGGCTAAGAGCATGGGTCTTGGGGTAGGAGCAATTTGAGTTCAAGTCCTCTGTGACCTTGGGTATCGTGTTGGTGGGGATCAATAATGTCCTCCTAAAGTCTTCTGTAGTGATACTGCCTGGGAAACCCAAGGAGGGGTCACTATGAGTCGGGTCCGACTCGACAGCACATAACAACAACAAAGTCATTGTAAGGGATAGATGAGATGATCTATGTGAGGCATCTAACAGTGCCTGGGATGTAGTAAGGGTTCAAAATACATCTGACGAATGCATTAATGGGTTGAAGTTAGCCGGCTGCCTCTAGAAGTCTACTTGATTCTCCTACAAGAATGCCAATGGCTTGTAGAGATCTGTTTGTCTTTATCCTGGGCCCAACTTCCTCTGGCCAGGTCAGTTCCCTTTGCTGAGCAAAACTCTGTCCTGAGCTTGGGAGAGGGGACCTCCAGATGGTGCTTGGAAGGTCTCCTGACTCCCTGAGAGGTCACTATGGGCCTTGGTCAACCACTGGTGCTCTGGGAAGGCCTGACTGCAGGCCAATAAAAAGCCACAAGGCCTCAGTTCCTCCGAGGAAAGTGCTGGCAGGGCCATCTGACTTGCTGCAATTCTCCCCCACTGGTCCTCAGGCCACCCAGAAGTAGTTTAATCCCTCTTCCCACGGCAGCCTTCTGAATCTCTGAGGCTGATCTTGTATCTCACCAACTCTCTGGGGTCCCAACTTTCAACTGTATTCTTAAGACAGGGCTCTGAAATCTAACATCCATCCAAGTCACTCTCCCTCGGATTCACTCTAGCTTTGTCAAGCTACACTGCAGTGTTCAGAAGTGAAGTGTCATGTGAAGGAATGAATGCAGTATGTGTCTAAGCAGCACAGATCACAGAGGGACTATGACTGGGACACTTTATTTCTATTAAAACTGTCATCAAATTGTCTATTCTTTGTAACCTCATCATACCAACCTACACTGCACTCTGTCAATGAAATCTCCCTCGGGCCTTTCTCCCATGGGCTACTCTTAGACCTGTTCTCCCCCATCTTGTATTTGTCCTGTTGATTATTTGGAGCTAAAAGCAGAACCTGCGTTATCTGCCCAGGGTTCCAGGAAGTCAGGATGTTTCTGAAACCTGACTCTGGCATCTACCATACTGGCATTCCCTCCTACCTCCATATCAAAGAAACTGATAAACTCACCATCTATGTTCTCATCCCAGGCTTTGAGTAAACAGTGAACAACAGGGCAGGGCAGGAAGACAGGCTGACACAGACTGACATCATTACTCTTTGGGTATGCTCATCCAACCAATTACAAATCAACCCAACCATCTCAGCACCAAGGCCCTCAGTCTCCTGGATGCTCTGTGGACATTTCTCTGTCTCACCCACAATGATGTCAGATGATATTCTCAGAATGTCTTATTAAACCCTATATCATAGCATTCCCCTGCCTCCCAGGCAGGTAACCCTTTCTAAAAAGACAAGGAGGATGGTCTGGCTGGCACGTCTGTCTCTTAGTGAATTCATGCTGACTCTCAGGGTTCACTGTTTCCTTTAAAGAGTGTTCCGATTCTACTTGCTGAATAATCTATTCCAGAATTTTCCATCAGAGTGATACCAAGCTCACTAGTTGAGAGATTGCAAGATGCTTTTTGCATCTGGAGACATTTGAGTGCTTCTAGTCTACCAAAAAGGAGCTCTGGTGGTGTAGTGGGTAAGGCATGTGGCTGCTAACCAAAAGGCTGGTGGTTCAAATCCACCAGCTGCTCCACAGAAGAAAGATGAGGCAGTTTGCTTCCATACAGATTTTTACAGCCTTGGAAACCTAATGGGGGTTGCTATAAGTCGGAAGTGACTTGATGGCATTGTTATTTGGTTTGAGAATCTACCAACACCTCTGTCCCAGGCCCTCAAAGATTACTGACACCAGTTTTGTGAATATCATCTGCCAATCCTCTTGGTACTCTGGGGGCACAATGTATGTGGAGCAGGAGACCTGAAGTCACTGCTTTGGTTTCTCTTATCAATACCTGTTTGATCCTTCTTAGTCTGAAGATCATACTATGGAGATGGAAG